GCCAGTACCATGCAGTTTTTATTACTGTTGCTCTATAGTACAGCTTAAGATTTGGGATGGACATACCTCCAGAAGATCTTTTACTGTAGAGGATTGTTTTAGCAATTCTGGTTTTCTTGTTATTCCATATGAAGTTGAGAATTTTTCTTTCCATATCTGTAAAGAATTGTGTTGGAAATTTAATGGGAATTGAATTGAATCTGTAGATTGCTTTTGGTAAGATGGCCATTTTTACTATGTTAATCCTGCCAAGCCATGAGCATGGGAGATCTTTCCATCTTCTCATATCTTCTTCTAATTCTTTCTTCAGAGACTTGAAATTTTTTTCATACAAGTCTTTGACTTGCTTGGTTAGGGTTACACCAAGGTACTTTATGTCCTTTGTGGCTACTGTGAAGGATGTTGTTTCTCTAATTTCTTTCTCAGCCCTTTTGTCTTTTGTATACAGGAGGGCTACTGATTTTTTTTTTAGTTAATTTTGTATCCAGCCACTTTGCTGAAGGTGTTTTTGAGCTGTAGGAGTTCCCTGGTAGAATTTTGGGGGTCACTCACATATACTATCATATCATCTGCAAATAGTGATAATTTGACTTCTTCCTTTCCAATTTGTATCCTCTTGATCTCATTCATCTGTCTTATTGCCCTAGTCAGGACTTCCAGAATTATGTTGAAGACATATGGAGAGAGTTGGCAGCCTTGCCTTGTCCCTGATTTCAGTGGAATTTCTTTAAGTTTCTCTCCGTTTAGTTTGATGTTGGCTATAGGCTTGCTGTATATTGCCTTTACTATGTTTAGATATGTGCCTTGTATCCCTGATGTCTCCAAGACTTTAAACATGAATGGATGTTGGATTTTGTTAAATGCTTTTTTTCTTGGTGTGTGTTGTGATGCCCACCTTCACCGATAAATTTATTAATTTGAGATTTTTCCCTACCTTTTAGGTAATTTGGCTAAGTCTTTATCAATCTTAATGATTTTTCTCAAAGAACCAACTCTTTTTTATTATTTATATTTGTTTCTGTTTTATTGATTTCAGATCTGGGTTTGATTATTTATTTCTGTCTGCTTTTTGTGTTATTTCTTACATGAGCTCTCTCTCAATTTTTTTTAATTTTTTTAAATTTTATTTATTTATTTATTTATTTTTTTATGTAGCCAGTTAGAGCTTGGACTTGCCTCTTACAACTACTTTCATTTTGTCCCATAGGTTTGGGTATCTTGTGTTTTCCTTTTCAGTCAATTCTAATAAGTTTTTAATTTCCATCTTAATGTCTTTTTTGAGGTGTCTTTCATTCAGTAGTGAGTTACTCAGTATGCATGAGTTTATAAATTTTCTGTTGGTTCCATTGTTTTTTAATCTAGTTAACATGGTGGTAAAATAGATGTAATGTGTTGTGTCAATTTTTTTTGTACCTTTTGAAAGTTGCTTTGTTTGCAAGTATATGGTCAATTTTGGAAAAAGTTCCATGAGCTGCTGAGACAAAATTATATTCTTTTACATCTGGATGAAATGTTTCATTAATAACTGCTTATAAGTGGATACTTGACCTATAAGATAGGATGGAATCTGTACACCTAAAGAAGATAAACAAGAAAATGACCCAGGGTAAGATGAGCAATCTTCACTTAGAAAGACAAATGGGATGGACATTGGATGTAGGAGAAAACAAGTAACAGGACAGGAGCCTACCACAGAGGGCCCCTGAAAGACTCTACCTATCAGTGAATCAAAGCAGATGCTGAGACTCATAACCAAACCTTGGGTAGCACGCAGGGAATTATATGAAAGAAGGGGGAGTTAGTATGACCTTGCGAGGACAGGAACTCCACAAGGACCAAATATATCTGGGCACAGGGGTCTTTTCTGAGACTGTTTCTCCATCCAAGGACCATACATGGATATAACGTAGAACCCCTGCTCAGATGGAGCCCATGGCAGCTCAGTGGGTACCCTAATAAGGGGAACAGGGACTGTTTCTGACATGAACTCAATGGCTGGCTCTTTGACACCACCCCAAGGGAGGAGCAGCCTTACCAGGCCCCAGAGGATGACTTTGCAGCCAGACCTGAAGAGACCTGATAAGCTAGGATCAGATGGAAGGGGAGGAGGGCCTCCCCTACCAGTGGACTTAGAGAGGGGCAGGGAAGAGATGAGGGAGGGAGGGTGAGATTGGGAGGGAATGAGGGAGGGGGGTACAGCTGAGATACAAAGTAAATAAACTGTAGCCAATAAAAAAAAAAAACTAAAAATTTAATTTAAAAAAACTGCTAAATTTATGGTATCATTTAGGCCCAGAATTTCTCTGATAAGTTTTGTCTGAATTACCTCTCTGTTGTTAAGAGTAGGAAGTCACCCGGTAGTATTTGGTGTGAGTGTCAATATATAATCTTAGCAGTAGTAGTTTTGCTTTTATGAACTTGTGTGCCATTATATTTGGTGCATAACTGTTTAAAATTGCAACATCCCCAGATCAATTTTTTTTCCTTTGATGAGTATATAGTATCCTTCCCTATATATATATTTTAGTTTTGGTTTGAAATTTATTTTGTCACATATTAAAATACTTCACTTGCTTAACACTTGGGTCATTTGCTTAGAATACCTTTTTCACCCCCTTTCCCTAATTTGATGTCTATCCTTGATGGTAAGATATATTTCTTGAATGTATCAAGAAGATGGATCATATTTTCTAACCCAGTTTGTTATTCTTTGTATTTTTATTGGTGAATTGAGACCATTAATATTGAGAGTTATCAATGAGCAGTGTTTATTGATTGCTGCTCTTTGTTATTATGGTACAGTTTTCCTCTCTTCATTTGATTTATTGGTATGGAATCATTTATTCCTTATGTTATCTTGGATATGGTTAACCTCTTCAGAATGAAGTTTTCCTTCTGTACTTATAGATAAATATTATTTGGTTATATCAATAAATTTTTCTTTCTCTGTCTATTGTGAATGATAGTTTTACTGGGCATGGTATTCTGTGCTGGCATCTGTAGTCTCTTACATTTTCTAGAACATTTGTCTAGGCCCTTATGGCTTTTAGAGTTTCCATTAAGAAGTTAGGTGTTATTCTAAACCATCTGCCTTCATATGTTACTTGCTCTTTTCTTCTTGCAGTTTTTATTCTTTGTTCTGTACAAATAATGATTCGATTATTATGTGTTGTGAGGACTTTCTTTTTGTGCCAGTCTATTTTATGTTTTGTATGTTTCTTATAGCTTGATAAATACTTATTTTAGGGTTGGAAATTTTTCTTCTATGATTTTGTTGAAAATATTTTCTGTGCCTTTGATCTTGGTTTCTTCTCCTTTCCATTTTTCTTTTTCTTTTTTTTTTTTTGTAGATTTTGTCTTTTTGTGGTGTTCCAGGTTCCCTGGATCTTTTGTACCTTGATATTTTTATACTCAACATTTTCTTTGAAGTATATATATATTTCTTCTACTTCTTTAATGCCTTAGATTTTCTCCTTCATGTTTTGTAGTCTGTTCATGAGGCTTACCTTTGAAATGTTTGACTTCCTACATTTTTCATTTCCAGGTTTATGTCAGTTTGGACTTTATTTAGTGATACTATTTCTACTTTCATGTCTTGAACTATTTCTTCATTTCATTCCACTGATTGTGTTTTCACAGACTGAATTAAGGAATTTTTTTTTCATATCTTCTTTAAGGTCATTGAATATATTCATAGTTGATATTTTGAATTCCTTGTCTCAGCTATATTACATTTCTTAGGGCCTACTGTAATAAGGTTCTGGTGGAGACATACTATCTTGGCTTTGTCTTTACCTTGTTTTTGTCTTCATGTCTAATCATCCGGAGTTAAGATGATTGAGGTGATTCTAGGTGTTGATATCTGGCATTGTTTTTGTGTCTGGGTGTTCCATTCCTTGGTTTCTTGTTCCCTCTTTTGATCTTAGGAAAGTGTGGTGGCTGTGTGATACCTGGTAGAGAGTGATTCTGCAGGTCGGTGGGTGGAGAAGACTAATAGAGATGGGCTTGAGGAAAAAGCTGAGAGGGACTGGAGGAAAGAACTAATGGTATTCTCTTTATAGTATTATTCAAGGTCCCTAAGGAATTGGAGGTATAGTAGGAGTAGCTTCTTCAAATAGGTTGCAGGAAGACAAAGAATAATCTGTAAAGACAGGGAATAAAGGCAAGGGAAATCCTAGACTTGTATTCAGACTTAACTCCAGCAGACAGTGTTGAGGTAGGAAGCACCATACCTGCAAGCAGACTGAGGCTGGTGAGACACTAATGGAGGAAATGAGGCAGAGTGAAAATTGCTGGTGTGGTCACTGAAGGTCCCAGGGAAAAAAATGTTTCCAGGTATCCTTGGCTAACACAAAGGAATGGAAATGGTGTAAAAGTGGCCTAAGAGGATCCACAGTAAAGAAAAAAACTAGGTCCACACCTAGGTTCAGCAAATCCCACAAAGAATGGAGGTAAGATGAGAGGAGCGACACCTGCAATCATACTGCACCAGTGCTGTGGGTGAGACTGGGGAGCTACCCACTTGCTCTTCAAAAGGGGAAAATGGAGCTACAGTCAAGCAGTCCCCACAATGTCCCTGCCTCACCACTGGGAAGAGCAGCACATAGGAGCAGAGATGCTGGCATTGTGACTTCATCATTATGATACAGTTCTGTGTGGGGCGGGGGAGGGGTATGTTGTAACAATCTCCAGGATCATTTTGTTCTTCCTCTTCTGGCCTGTTGGCAGGGAAAGACCAGATGGCAGGCTGAAATCCAGCCAAGCTTGTAGCTGAGGTCTCTGGTGAAGTCAACTCCAACGATTCATAGACTTTAATCACCGTTCTCAGGTCTTTGTTTCCTATTTCCCACCGTTACAGAGGACTATCTCCAAGTGTGAGTGAGACAAACTGGAAACAGCTGACTTGTCACCACGCACTGTAGTCAAAAGATCTGGTTCTCTCAAGACTCTTACAAGCCAGTAGGTTGTTTACCAACGCATCATCTGCCAGCCAGTCAGTCATGGACCAACCAGGCATGAACCAATCAGGTATGACACAACCAAGTGTAAACCAAATAGATATGAACTACTTAAGTGTAAGACCACCACGCCTAAGCAATCCAGATATGGAACAACCAATTATGAGGCTATCAGGCCAGAACCTATACACTATGAAACAACTAGGGCCAAGACTACCAGACAGCAACCAGCCAAGCACGAACCAACTAGGCATGAACAAACCAGGTGTGACAAGATCAGGAGCAAGCCAAGCAGATATGTACCAATCAGGCTTGAGCCCATCCAATATGAAACTACGAGTGTCAAGCATGGACCATTTAGTCATAAGCAAACCAGACCTAAGCCTACAAGTTATGAGGGAGCCAGACCCAAGACAACTGGATATAAAACAACCAAGCATACACCAACCAGGTATGAATCAAGCAGACATGAGCCAAACAGGCATATGGCAGCCAGGCTCACCTCCTCCCAACAGAAAAGTGAGCTCAAGGCAATGGGACCCAGTGTATCCAGGCAGGAGACCACAAGACATGTGGCAAGTAAACCAAATCAATCAAGGAATGAGGCAATCAGATATAGTGCAACAAGACCCAAGCTATGTAGTACAGAGACAATCAGATACATGGAAACAGGACCCAAGTTATCCAGGACTGAAACCTATAGAGCGACGGTATTTGGGGACAAGCCAGACAGGCAACAAACCAAATTTATGGCAACAATACCTAAGTCATCCAGGCCTCAGACAGTTGGAATTCAGACAAGCAGATCCCAGAGAACTAGGTATGCAACAATCTGACACAGGGCAAGCAGGCCCTAGTCAATTAGGCATGAGACAAACAAGCCAACCACGTATGAGACCAAACGACATATGGCAATTGGTCCTTACACAAAAAGGCATAAAACAACTGAGGATGTTGCAAACAGCCTCCAGCTCACCAGACAGCAGACAGTCAGGCACTTGGCAACCAGACTCTAGCCCACACGGCAAGACACTGTCAGACCCATGGCATCTGAGCCTCAGCCAACCGGCCATGAGACAATCTGATACATGTCATCTAGGCTCTAGCCCACCAGGTATGGAACAGTTGAACACACATTATATAAGCTCCAGTCAACTATGCAGGAAACCATCTGTCATACAACAACAGGGATCCAACCAACAAGGCATGAAATACTCAGACACAAAGCAAGTGGGCCCTAGTCTACTGGGCGTGACTCCGTCATACTCAAAAGAAGTTGGGGGCAGCCAACGAGGCATGGATGATTTGGACACACCAAAATCAGGCTCCAGCCAAACAGGCATGAAAAAGTTGTACAGATGGCAATCAGGCACCAACCAAGCAGGCAAGACACAGTCAGACAAATGGCTACTAGGCCCTAGCATTCTAGGTATAAGACATTTGGATTCATGGCAACCAGGCCCAAGCCAACAGGGCATGAAATATTCAGACTCATGGCCATGGGGCCCAAATCGTTCAGGTACAAGACAGTCAGATTTATGGCAACCAAGCCCCAACCAATCAGACACAAGGCAATTGGATACATGGAACCAAAGTCCAAGCCTCCCTGGTGTAAGACAGTTATACACATGGCAGCCAACCCCAAGTTGCTCAGACACAAAACAATCAGAAAAACAGCAACCTAGTCCTAGCAACTCAGACATGAAACAATCAGATACTTGGGAACCAGTGCCAAAGCAATCACAGACAAGCTCCACCCAACTGAATCTGTTTCAAGAAGACATGAAAAAACCAGAGGCAAGTCAATCAGGAGTCACTGAATTAGGCAGAAACCAATTAGATACCATTCAAGCAGATATCACCCAGTCAGGCACTCACCAATTAGATATAAACCAACCAGATGCCACCCAACCAAGCCAAGAAGAAATGACACAATTAGAAATAGCAGAACCAAGTCCAATCCAACCAGAAAGGAAAGCCAGTCCATCAGACACTAGCCAATCGGACTCAATTCAACTAGACCTAAGCCAAGCAGGTGAAAGTCAATACGAGCCAAGTGAATCAAGTATGAGTGACTCAAGTCAAGGAGCAATGCAATCATGCCCGACAAATCAAAGCATGGCTCCTTTCTACGTAAGACCTGCTGAGCCTGAAGACTGCCCAGATATCCTGCGGCTGATTAAAGTAAGGCTCTATTTCCTTATTACTTGGAAGCTAGTACAGGGATAAAAGAACAAAAGGAAGGCATAGTCTAGATTTGAATCTAGCTCTGTTCATTACGACCCATATACACAATGTTGTGGAATTTCACTAAGCCCCTTTAATCTTCATTTTCAATTTAAATCGAGATTATGGTAATTGTTACACCAAAAGACTATATTAGTGTTTTTTTCTTTTTTAAAAAAATTATTATTATTAATTATAATTTATTCATTTTGTATCCTGACTGTAGCCCCTCCCTATCTCCTCCCAATCCCACTCTCCTTCCCTCTTCCCCGCCCCATGTCCCTCCTCTATTCGACTGATGGGGGGGTCCTCCTCCCTTAGTACCTGACCCTAGCCTATTAGGTCACATCAGGACTGTCTAGATCCTCTTTCTTTGTGGCCTACTTAGGCTACCTCACCAGGGGGGAGGTGATCAATGAGCAGGCAAGTGAGTTTATGCCAGAAACTCCCCCTGCTCCCCTTAGTAGGGAAGGCACATGGAAACTAAGCTGTGCATGGGATACATCTGATCATGGGGTCGAGGTCCTCTCTATGCATGGTCCTTGGTTTATTCATCAGTCTCTGCCAGACCCAATTTGGCTCTGTTGTTCTCCTTGTGGAGCTCCTGTCCCCTCCAGAGCTTTCTGTCTCACCCATCTTCCATAAGATTCCCTGCACTCTGCCCAAATTTTGGCTATGAGTCTCAGCATCAACTTCGATATCATGATGGGAAGAGTCTTTCAGAGACCCCTTGTGGAAGGCTCCTATCCTGTTCCGTGTCTTCTCCTACTTCCAAAGTCTGTCCTGTTTTCCCTCTTGAATGAGGATTAAGCCTCTTCCCTAGGGTCCTCCTTGTTGTTTAGCTTCTTTAGGACCATAGATTTTAATATGTTTATCTTAAATTATATGGCGAACATCCACTTATAAATGAGTATATATCATGTGCTTCTGAGTTACCTTACTCACGATGATCTTTTCTAGTTCCATCTATTTGCCTTCAAATTGCATGATTTCCTTGGGATTTTTTTGCATTTTTAATTGTTAATTATTAATTACAATTTATTCGCTTTGTATCCCAGCTGTGTTCCCCTCCCTCATCTCCTCCAAATCCCACCCTCCCACCCTCTTCTTCCCCATGCCACTACCCTAGTCCACTAATAGGGGAGGACCTCCCCCCCTTCTATATGACCCTAGTCTATCAGGTGCCTATCAGCACTGGATGCATTGTCTACCTCTGTGGCCTGCCAAGACAGAAATTGTGGTACATTTACACAATGCAACACTATTCAACTATTAAAAACAAGGAAATCATGAAATTTTCAGGTGAATGGTTGGAACTAGAAAAGACCATCTTGAGTGAGGTTACAGAAGCAGAAAAACACACATGGTATCTAATCACTCATAAGTCATTATTAGACAGAAAATATAGGATAAACACACAAAGATCTATATTCCTAAAGAAGCTAAACAAGGAAGACCCCAGGGAAGATACTCAATCCTCATGCAGAAGGGCAAATGTGATAGACATCAGAGGCAGGAAAAGACAGGGAATAGGACAGGAGCCTACCATAGACGGCCCCTGAAAGGTCTCCTTTTTTTAAATTGCTGAGTAGTATTCCATTGTGTAAATGGACCACAATTTCTGTATCCATTCTTTGGTTGAATGATATCTAGGTTGTTTCCAGCTTCTGGCTATTATGAATAATGCCACTATGAACAGAGATGAGCAAATGTCTTTGTTGTATAGTTGAGCATCTTGAATCTGCAAAACATTTTAACAATGAAATCATTAGAATTTTTAAGAATCAGGCATAAAAAAGTTTATACTTTGTTACAATGATGCTGGTATACAGCTACACAATGTTCATGAGTCTAATGAACTTGAGTGAACATTTCCTTATACACATGTTTATTTTAATTCCTTTCCTAGAAATCATACCAGTGCAGTAAATGTGACAATGTAATGACTGTAGTTACCATGATGGAATTTTGATGCACTGATGGCAGTCATTCATGTGATACACAAGCGTGAATGTAATGGTTCACTTTGGGTTTTATGTTCTTTAATAATATTTCCATTTTTCTGAACACATGATAATTTCCAAGTTCATAAAACACTCTTTTTAAAATAATTTATTAGTTTCCCATCAAAATTCCTTAGCTAAAAGACATCATGAATGAGGCATTGTGTAGCTGTGCACCAGCATCATTGTAACAGTATTAATTTTTTCTATGCCTGATCTTTAAAATTCTAATGTTTTCATTGTTAAAATGTTTTGCAGATCTGGTGCTTTCTCAGACAATTAGGAATAGTGCTTCCTCAAGATCCAGCTATACCACTCCTAGGCATATATCCAAAATATGCTCAAGTATACAACAAGGACATTTGCTCAGCCATGTTCCTAGCAGTTTTATTCGTAATAGCCAGAATCCAGAAACAACCCAGATGCCCCTCAACAGAGGAATGGATACAGAAATTGTGGTCCATTTACACAATGGAATACTAGTCAGCAATTAAAAACAAGGAAATCATGATATTTGCAGGCAAATGGTGGGAACTAGAAAAGATCATCCTGACTGAGTTATCCCTGAAGCAGAAAGACTTACATGGTATATACTCATGTATAAGTGGATATTAGAAATATAATATAGGATAAACATACTAAAATCTGTACACCTAAAGAAGCTAAGCAAGAAGGAGGATCCTGGGTAAGATGATCAATCCTCACTTAGAAAGACAAATGGGACTGATATCAGAAGAGGGAGAAAATAGGGAATAGAACAGGAGCCTATTACAGAGGACCTCTGAAAGACTCTACACAGCAAGGTATCAAAACAGATGCTGAGATTCATAGCCAAACTTTGGGCAGAGTGCAGGGAATTATAAATAAGTGCTAACTGATATGGAAATAATATAGTATGGACTGGATAGAATGATAATAATGAAGTCATATACCATGTCTACATTTTTAAAAAATAAAGTTATTTTGTATTGCTTAGGCTTACTATTACTCCGAAGAAACACCATGGGGTTTATTTGTCTTACATACCCCAAGTTACAGTCCACTGAAAGCAGAAACTCAAACGGTATGAACTGGAGGCATGCAAAGGCCATGGATGGGAACTGATTACTAGCTTGTTCCTCCTGGCTTGCTCAGCCTGCTTTCTTATACAACCCAGGACACACAGCCCAGTAGTGGTACCACCCACAATGATCTGTCTCTCCCCACACCATCAATCACTAATTAAGAAAATGCCCTAAAGAAGTTAAACAAGAAAGAGGACAGGGGTAAGATGATCAATCCTCACTGAGAAAGACAAATGGGAGGTGCATTGGACATAGGAGAAAACAAGTAACAGGACAGGAGCCTACCGCAGAGGGCCCCTGAGAGACTCTACCCATCAGTGTATCAAAGCAGATACTAAGACTCATAACCAAACCTTCAGCAGAGTGCAGGAAATCATATGAAAGAAAGGGGAGTCAGTATGACGTGGAAAGGATAGGAGCTCCACAAGGACCAAATATATCTGGGCACAGGGGTCATTTCTGAGACTGACACTCCACCAAGGACCATGTATGGATATAACCTAGAACCTCTGCTTGGACGAAGCCCGTGGTAGCTCAGTAACCAAATGGTTTCCCATAGTAAGGGGAACAGGGACTATTTCTGACAGGAACTCAATGGTAGCTCGTTGACCTCCCCACCCCCCAAGGGAGGAGCAGTCCTGTTAGGCCACAGAGGAGGACTTTGCAGCCAGTCCTGAAGATACCTGATAAAACAGGGTCAGGTGAAAGTGGACTTGGAAAGGGGCAGGGAGGAGATGAGGGAGGAAGGGAGGGTTTGGGAGGGAATGAGGGAGCGGGATACAGCTATGATACAGAGTTAGTAAAATGTAACTAATAATAAAAAAAACTAAAATAAAATAAAATAAAAAGAAAATGCCCTACGGGCTTGCCTCCATCCTGATCTTATGAATACATTGTCTCAATTGAGGTTCTGTCCACTGAAATAACTTTAATCTGTGTCAAACTGACAAAAAATGAGCCAACACATTACTTTATTTTGAAGAATTTAAATTTATTTCAGTTATATACATAAGGAAGGTCTTATTTACGGTTAAGAAATATTCTGTTGAACTCTTGTGCAGTAATATGGAAAAATGAAATGTTTCCACTGTTTCTACCAATGTGAAATAAAATTTGTAATTCTGGCTTTCCTGAAAAATAGTAAAAATATAAATTAAAAGTTTGAATACAGGGATATAATAAAATAATAATAGAAGAAAAGTTTTTTAAGTATTTAATATATAAGTAATATGTATTTTCATGTGAATGATGTGATTGCATTTGACATACTCCATAGAAAATTGATTCATAAAAAAACAAGATTTTTTTGTCCTTGTTTAGCTTATGTTTAGGCTGTCATTTTGGTGAGACTCTATAGGTGTAACTTCTAAAATTGCAAGAGTGCAAGCAGAATATGGGAGGGCTTGGAGGGAGAGATGGTAGTTGTATTTTAATCTCAAAAGTAAATGAAAAAAAGTTTTGATAAAATCTTCAGAGCTAGAACAATGAAACTTAATGAAGAGTCCAGAATTTAGCTAAAGTACATATGAGAATGTGGTGTTTGATATAAGGGACATTTCAAATCACTAAATAAAAAGGAGATTATTAAATTAATGGCACTGGGATGACAAGGTATAGTGTTATGGTGATATTCCACCTCAAAATTTACACACAAGAAAAAAACATTCAAACAGAGAAATTATTAATAATGTAAGATGATAAAACTCAGAATTCAGTACAATTAATATCTTAACCAAAAATAAACAAAAGGAGACTAAACATAAATATTTTTTATCTTTTCAAGTATAAGATAGGCATCACAAAAAATGGAATGCAAAAAGTAATAAAGATCACAATTTTAAAATTCTAAAGTTATACTATCAAAATCCAAAGAAAACATATTTCATATTTTATTTCTGTAAAATCATAATAAACATGATGACTGGCAAGAAGTTTTTCTTTATTTTCCAGCTTCCTGCTGGATTCAAAGCCACTAACCTAGAAAGTTAATCTTTACATGACTGGTACATGAAATCTCTATCACCTCCCTATAACATGCTTATTTATCATCTGGCTACCAACTACTTATTTACCTATTTTGTGTTACATTGCTGTTTCAGATTTTAAGTTTCTAGATAATTGAGATCAAATCTGACTTCGTTTTAGCACATCCCGGGATACCTCTGTGTATAAATATTCAATATATACTTCAATGATTATAATATTTACCAAATTATCATCTGAAAGTATTTTTTTCTACTTTGACAGGAATTGGCTTCCTGTGAAGGCATGCAAGAAAAGGTGACATTAACAGAACATGGTAAGAAGTTTTGTGGTAATTTTAGAGCACATAAAACAGTGTGAGTGCATGCACACAGGATAAACACTTAGATATGCCTAAGAAGCTTTTCTTTTACAAAATGATCCTATTAGTAACATTGACATATACAAACATGAATTCAATAGCCTTTTCTTTTTTTAATTTTTTATTAATTACACTTTATTCATTTTTGTATCCCCCCATAAGCCCCTCCCTCCTCCCCTCCCGATCCCAACCTCCCTCCCCTTTCTGCATGCATGTCACTCCCTAAGTCCACTGATAGGGGAGGTTCTCCTCTCCTTTCTGATCTTAGTCTATCAGTTCTCATCAAAAGTGGCTGCATTGTCCTCTACTGTGGCCTGGTAAGGCTGCTCCCTCCTCAGGGGGAAGTGATCAACGAGCAGGCCAATCAGATTATGTCAGAGGCAGTCCCTCTTCCCATTACTATGTAAACCACTTGGACACTGAACTGCCATGGGCTACACCTGTGCAGGGATTCCAGGTCATCTCCACGAATAGTCCTTGGTTGGAATATGATTTTCTGGGAAGTTCCCTGTGTTCAAATTATCTTGTTCTGTTGCTCTCCTTGTGGAGTTCCAGTCCCCTCCAGCTCTTACTATTTCCCACTTCTTACATAAAATTCCATTCACTCTGCCCATCCGTTGGCCATCAGGCTCAGCATCTGCTTTGACAGTCTATACTGCAGAAGCTTTCAGAGGCCCTCTGTGGCAGGTTTCAAGGTTGTTTCCTGTTTTCTTCTGGCTTTCAGAGGCCCTCTGTAGCAGGTTCCGAGGTTGTTTCCTATTTTCTTTTTCTTCTGATGTCCATCCTCTTTGCCTTTCAGGATGGGGATTGAACATTTTAGTTAGGGTCCTCTCTTTTGCTTAGTTTGTTTAGATGTACAGATTTTACTGGGTTAATTTATATTGTATGTTTATATGAGTGAGTATATACCATGCATGTCTTTTTGCTTCTGGGACAACTCACTCAGGATGATCCTTTCCAGGTCCCACCATTTACCTGCAAATTTCATGATTTCCTTATTTTTCATTGCTGAGTAATACTCCATTGTATAGATGTACCACAGTTTCTGCATCCATTCTTCAGTTGAGGGGCTTCTGGGCTCTTTCCAGCTTCTGGCTATTACAAATAAAGCTGCTACAAACATGGTTGAGCAAATGTCCTTTTTGTGTACTTGCGCCTCTTTTGGGTATATGCCTAGGAGTGGTATGGCTGGATCTTGAGGAAGCGCTATTCCTAGTTGTCTGAGAAAGCGCCAGATTGATTTCCAGAGTGGTTGTACAAGTTTACATTCCCACCAGCAGTGGAGAAGGGTTCCCCTTTCTCCACAACCTCTCCAGCATGTGTTGTCCCTTGAGTTTTTCATCTTGGCCATTCTGATGGGTGTAAGGTGAAATCTCAGGGTTGTTTTGATTTGCATTTCCCTAATGGCTAATGAGGTTGAGCATTTCTTTAAGTGCTTCTCTGCCATTCGATATTCCTCTGCAGAGAATTCTCTCTTTAGCTCTGTTCCCCATTTTTTAAGTGGATTACTTGGTTTGTTGCTTTTCAGCTTGTTTAGTTCTTTATATATATTGGATATGAGTCCTCTGTCACATAAAGGGTTGGTGATGATTCTTTCCCAATCTGTAGGCAGTCGCTTTGTTTTGATGACAGTGTCCTTTGCTTTACAGAAGATTTTCAATTTCATGAGGTCCCATTTATTGATTGTTGCTCTTAGAGCCTGTGCTGTTGGTGTTCTGTTCAGGAAGTTCTCTCCTGTACCAATGAGTTCTAGGGTATTCCCCAATTTTTTTTTCTAGCCGATTTAATGTGTCTGGTTTTATGTTGAGGTCTTTGATCCACTTGGACTTCAGTTTTGTGCAGGGTGATAAGTATGGATCTATTTTCATTTTTCTATATGTAGACATCCAGTTGGACCAGCACCATTTCTTGAAGATGCTATCTTTTTTCCATTGTATGGTTTTGGCATCTTTGTCAAAAATCAGGTGTCCGTAAGTGTGTGGGTTTATTTCTGGGTCTTCTGTTCGATTCCATTGATCCACCATTCTGTTTCTATGCCAGTACCATGCAGTTTTTATAATTGTTGCTCTATAGTACAGCTTGAGATCAGGGATGGAAATACCTCCAGAAGATCTTTTATTGTAGAGGATTGTTTTAGCAATTCTCGGTTTCTTGTTATTCCATACGAAGTTGAGAATTTTTCTTTCCAGGTCTGTAAAGAATTGTGTTGGCAATTTGATGGGAATTGCATTAAATCTGTAGATTGCTTTTGGTAAGATGGCCATTTTTCCTATGTTAGTCCTGCCAAGCCATGAGCATGGGAGATCTTTCCATCTTCTCATATCTTCCTCTAATTCTTTCTTCAGAGATGTGAAATTTTTTTCATACAAGTCTTTGACTTGCTTGGTTAGGGTTACACCAAGGTACTTTATGTCATTTGTGGCTATTGTGAATGGTGTTGTTTCTCTAATTTCTTTCTCAGCCCTTTTGTCTTTCGTATGCAGGAGTGCTACTGATTTTTTTGAGTTAATTTTATATCCGGCCACTTTGCTGAAGGTGTTTTTGAACTGTAGGAGTTCCCTGGTAGAGTTTTTGGGGTCACTCATATATACTATCATATCATCTGCAAATAGTGATAATTTGACTTCTTCCTTTCCCGTATGTATCCCCTTGATCTCCTTCGACTGTCTTATTGCTCTAGCAAGGACTTCCAGCACTATGTTGAAGAGATATGGAGACAGTGGGCAGCCTTGTCTTGTCCCTGATTTCAGTGGGATTGCTTTAAGTTTCTCTCCGTTCAGTTTGATGATGGCTATAGGCTTGCTGTATATCGCCTTTACTATGTTTAGATATGTGCCTTGTATCCCTGATCTCTCCAGTACTTTAAACATGAATGGATGTTGGATATTGTCAAATGCTTTCTCAGCATCTAGGGAGATTATCATGTGGTTTTTTTCTTTCAGTTTGTTAATATGGTGGATCACATTGATGGATTTCCGTATATTGAACCACCCCTGCATACCTGAGATGAAGCCTACTTGGTCATAATGGATAATATCTTTGATGTGTTCTTGGATTCGGTTTGCAAGTATTTTGTTGACTATTTTTGCATCAATGTTCATAAGGGAGATTGGCCTGAAATTCTCTTTCTTTGTTGAGTCTTTGTGAGGTTTAGGTACCAAGGTGATTGTGGCTTCATAGAATGAGTTTGGTAATGTTCCTTCTGTTTCTATTTTGTGGAATAGTTTGAAGAGAATTGGAGTTAGCTCTTCTTTGAAGGTCTGGTAGAATTCTGCGCTGAAGCCATCTGGTCCTGGGCTTCTTTTGGATGGGAAACTTTTGATGACTGCTTCTATTTCTTTGGGGGATATAGGACTATTTAATTGATTTACCTGGTCCTGATTCAGCTTTGGTGAGTCAAATCTATCAAGAAAATTGTCCATTTCATTTTGATTTTCAAATTTTGTGGCATATAGACTTTTGAAGTAAGTCCTAATGATTGTTTGAATTTCCTCAGTGTCTGTAGTTATGTCCCCCTTTTCATTTCTGATTTTGTTGATTTGGGTGGTGTCTCTCTTCCTTTTAGTTAGCTTTGCTAAGGGTTTGTTGATCTTGTTGATTTTCTCAAAGAACCAGCTCTTGGTTTCATTGATTCTTTGAATTGTTTTATTTGTTTCTAATTGATTGATTTCAGCCCTGAGTTTGATTATTTCCAGCCGTCTACTCCTTTTTGGTGTGTCTGCTTCTTCTTTTTCTAGGGTTTTTAAGTGGGCCATTAAGTTGCTTGAATGAGCTGTCTCGAATTTCTTCTTGAAGGCACTTAGTGCTATGAACTTTCCTCTTAGCACTGCTTTCATTGTGTCCCACAAGTTAGGGTATGTTGTGTCTTCATTTTCATTGAGTTCTAGAAAGGCTTTAATTTCTTTCTTTATTTCTTCCCTGACCCAGCTGTCATTTAGTAACAAGGTGTTCAGTTTCCATGTGTGTGTAGGCTTTTTGCTATTTCTGTTGTTGTTGAAGTCCAGCTTTATTCCATGGTGATCAGACAGGATACAAGGGATTATTTCAGTCTTCTTGTATCTGTTGAGGCTTGCTTTGTGACCAACTATATGGTCTATTTTGGAGAAGGTTCCATGAGGTGCTGAGAAGAAGGTAAATTCTTTTGTGTTTGGGTGTAAAGTTCTGTAGATGTCTGTGAGGTCCATTTGATTCATGACCTCTGTCAGAGATATTGTTTCTTTCTTTAATTTCTGTTTTGTTGACCTGTCCTTTGTTGAGAGTGGGGTGTTGAAGTCTCCCACTATTAATGTGTGGGGATCTATATGTGGTTTAAATTTTATCAATGTTTCTTTTACAAATGTGGGTGCTCTTGTATTTGGGGCATAGATGTTCAGGATTGTGATGTCTTCCTGGTGGAATTTTCCCTTGATGAGTATGAAGTGTCCTTCCTCATCTCTTTTTATTAATTTTGGTTGAAAGTCTATTTTATCAGATATTAGAATGGCTACTCCTGCTTGTTTCTTGGGTCCATTTGCTTAGAAAATCGTCTTCCTACCTTTTACCCTCAGGTAATATCTATCTTTGTGTCTTAGGTGTGTTTCTTGTATGCAACAGATTGCTGGGTTTTGTTTACGTATCCATTCTGTTAATCTGTGTCTTTTTACTGGAGAGTTGAGTCCATTGATGTTCACAGAAATTAATGACCAGTGGCTGTTAGAACCTTTAATTTTGATGTTGGCTGTGTTCATAAGGTTGTGTGCTTGGTTGTTTTTTGTTTTGCTGTAGTAAGGTTAATTATTTCCTGTGTTTTCTTGACAGAAGCTAATTTTCTTGGGTTGTATTTTCCCTTCCAGTATCTTCTGTAATGCTGGATTTGTGTGTAGGTATTGTTGAAATTTTTTTTGTCATTGAATATCTTGTTTTCTCCGTCTATGAGGACTGAGAGTTTTGCAGGGTATAGTAGCCTGGGTTGACATCTGTGTTCTCTTAGGGTCTGCATGATATCTGTCCAGGCCCTTCTGGCTTTCATAGTTTCTGTTGAAATGTCAGGTATGATTCTAATGGGTTTACCGTTATATGTTACTTGGCCTTTTTCCCTTGCAGCTTTTAGTATTTTTTCTTTGTTC